ATGAAACTTAACCAACCTATAGAGATAGGTATACGCGACCTCACCAAAGGACGTGGTGTGCTATTCCTTATGGAACTGCACAACTGTGGCAGCTACTTCTAGGAAGGGGTCTATCAGCCAGCTTACCTCCAGCGACGCTGTACTGGCAGGCCAGATGCTGAATTTAACGTCGTCTTCCTTTTCTCCAGGACTCCTTGGGTAAGTCTTACAAGTCTTCTTTCTTTAGCTTGCAAGCATCCCACCTTCGTCGCCAGTGTTGAGTCCTCGAGTCAATGGCGAAAGAAGAGCACACATTCTGATGGTAATAACAGCTTTTATTCTCTTCAGCTCACTATGACACAACTGTGAGGCTCACAGGCCTCTCTGACTCTAAATAGAATCCCCGGGCAAAAGGTAACATGAGATGGCGCGCTTTTGCACCTCGCGCATGCGCGTAGGCTGGTGCCAATCAGTCTGGTCCCGGGCAGCTTGCAACTGCCCGGAACCATTGCAACGTCCCGAGCCTGCTTTTGCAGGCTCAGGACACAACAGACTCAGTTACAGGAGTGATGACTACACCATTAGAAGAATTGAAAGAACAGTTTAGAAAAGATCTCATGGAAAAAAATCTATGTAGTCACTAGGAATTGCAAATGACTTGATGGTACATAATCAATCAATTTATTTTGAGATTCATGTTTTTCATGGCATACCATTCCCCAGCTAACAACACAGTATCATCTAAGTAGAAAAATACATGCACATTCATATTCCCAAACAACACACCTCTAATGTCACCACAAACATTCCTTATCCATAAACTCATCAAGCATCCTTGTATTACTTCCTGCTCAATGCTGAACCATTCACTAAGCATTCAGTTTACCCTCATCCATTCCTTACTTCCATCATTACTTTAAACATTCAGTATCCATATTTAATTTAATGCTCATGTAAAACATCTCATAATTTAAGGAATGACAAGTAAGAGACATAAAGCAAGGTTTGAATTGGGGCATTCCTTTCCAGTTTACCCCATGAGTCTCCTCTGCATTTATGACTGCCAATAAAGCTATCATGCAGAAACACTGGCTCAGCTGTGTCCTACTTTTATTCCTCTGGATCTATTTCTCAATCTTGGCAACTTTAAGACATATGACAATGCTTTAAAGCTGCACAGTTTTGCTAAATCAAGGGTCCCCAACCCCTGAGCCATGGCCCACTACCAGGCTGCGGTCTGTTTGGAACTGGGCCACAGAAATGCCAGGTGAATGCACACATGTGCGCAGCTCCATTTGTGCAATCAACAGGTGCCTGTGCCCACTGCTCATGCAAATGGAGCTGCATGCTCTCGTGCACTCACCTGCTGCTCATGCATAACCATTCCCTCTCCCCTCGCCGGTCCGAAAAGCTGGAAAGGTTGGGGTATTGCTGTGCTAAATGGTTTATAATAGGATGAAAGAAATTCCAGATATTCTACTTTCCCTCCAATCTTTTTTTTAACTAAGTATTAATAAACCTTATATTCCCACAATGCATACCGAACTAGCATTGTATGTAGTAATTGCTGCAAGGGTATTATACACTTTCTACTGGAAACTATGTACAGTTCCTTCTGCAAAAGAATGGCTAATTAAGTTGCAGAGATGCACCTTGATATCCCAAACAACTTTGTATTTCGAAAGTAAATATAACACAAAATTCAACTTGATTTGGAAACTAATTTTTAATTATTCGTAAGCTGCCCAGTGTTGATTAGAAGATGGGCAGCTATATAAAATCAATCAATAAAAAGGATCATACCATATTCAGAATTTGGATTTGTCTCAACACAAAGTCTTAATATTCCAGCTTTCAACATTCTATTAAATAAGGATCAATCTTCAATTGCTTAGATCAGTGGCTCTTAAACTGAGATAATTATTCCTAATGTTGGGAATAGTTCTAGGGTTAATGGAACAATTTATAATTGCTCATTTGTGAGATAAGGATCAGGTCTGGAACTGCTACAGCTGAGATAGTTCTGGAAAACAACAGAGTCTGATTTATTGGGTGGTGGCTGGTCTTGACGTTATCGAGACCAAGAAAAGGTTCAAACAGCTTAAGAACCACTGTCCCAAATAAAAATTAGTGCACTTCTTAATTTCATTTTCTAACTTATATTGTGCTGATTATTGCTTTGATGTCTTTTTTGGCCTTTTTTTGTTGTTTGTGGTTTTCTTCTTTCTAAAAATGCTTACTAAATATCAGTTTAAAAACAAAAAAGAATAAAAGATCAAAGAACATGCTAAGTGACATGTCATAATGGTTAGATTTACATAGTACATCAAGCCAGAGTGTTTGGGGAATGATTCTGGAAGAGAAAAGAATGGCTAGATTTGGAACTTTCTTAGACCATGTCAAAAAAAGTTGGAGGGCGTCAGTGCTAAATCGAATTTACAAAAAATGAATTCAAAAAGTATGGTTTTCTTAGGACATTTAAAACACATTTATCCCATCTTTCTATTTAAAAGGCACTCAAAGTAGTCAATAACATAATATGCAATTAACACTTCCAAACCCAATTTTTTTAAAAAATATATATATTTAAAGTGTCAAACAATCAGAAGGGTTAGAAGCAATTGGAAAAGCTACTAAATAAAGCTACCTGTGCTGAGGAAAAGTAAAAGAATTTGAACTAAACAAACTTCAAACTAACCAACCAAGGCTTTCCATCAGATGGTGACCAACTGTTAAAAGGTCTCTTGTATATAATGCTTGCAACATACTCATCTGTTAAACTATGCTTTAAATCTGTGTTACTCTTTAGCCTCTTTCTGCTGGTTTGGGGCTGGTGGACCCACAAAAACAGTCATTTTGAAGTGATATCCATCATCTTCTCTCAGAATTTTAAATGCACCCATGAACTGGAAAAAGGCTGGGAATAAGGGAGTGTATTAGCTAGCATTTGAATCTCAGCATCTTTTGCTAATTATTGATATAATAGTAGTAGTAGTAGTAGTAGTAGTAGTAGTAGTAGTAGTAGTAGTAGTAGTAAAGTTGGAAGGGACATTGGAGGTCATCTAGTCCAACCCCCTGCTCAGGCAGGAAACCCTATACCATTTCGGACAAATGGCTGTCCAGTCTCTTCTTAAAAACTTCCAGTGATGGAGCATTTACCGCTTCTGGAGGCAGGTTGTTCCAGTGATTAATTGTTCTCACTGTCAGGAAGTTTCTCCTTAGTTCTAGGTTGCTTCTCTCTTTGATTAGTTTCCACCCGTTGCTTCTTGTCCTGCCTTCAGGTGCTTTGGAAAATAACTTGACTCCCTCTTCTTTGTGGCAGCCCCTGAGATATTGGAACACTGCTATCATGTCCCCATTTGTCCTTCTCTTTGTTAAACTAGACATATCCAATTCCAGCAACCATTCCTTATATGTTTTAGCCTCCAGTCCCCTAATCATCTTTATTGCTCTTCTCTATACTCTTTCTAGAGTCTCAACATCTTTTTTACATCATGGTGACCAAAACTGGATGCAGTATTCCAAGTGTGGCCTTACCAAGGGATTGTAAAGTGATATTAATACTTCACGTGATCTTGATTCTATCCCTCTGTTAATGCAGTCTAGCACCGTGTTGGCTTTTTTGGCAGCTGCAGCACACTTTTGGCTCATATTTAGGTGATTGTCTACTAGGACTCCGAGGTCCCTCTCACAGTTACTACTATTGAGCAAGGTGCCACCTATGCTATATATCAAGCCATGATTGAGTGATTGGTTATGGTCCTCACATCCATGTGAACTCTTAATAACCATATAGGTAGATATTTTTCCATGACAACCTGACTTGTTTTTTCAGATCTTCTAACAGTGCTTTCTTCTAATGATGCTCTCGCTCTAGATAGAACTTAGTCTGTCCATCTTGTTGCTGATTATCCTTTTCTTCTCTTCTCTTTCCTTTCATTTTTCCCAGCATTAAAGCCTTTTGGGAGAATGTGTGTCCAAAATATGATCATTTGAATCTGGACATTTGTGCCTCAAGTGAAAACTCTGGGTTAATTTGTTCAATGATCCATTTGTTTGTTTTCTTGGCTGGGCATGGTATTCTCAGGAATCTTCTTCAACACCAAGTTCAAAAGTGTCAATGCTTTTCCTATCTTGCTTCTTCAAAGTCAAACTTTGGAAATTGGACTTTGCATGAAGAGTTTCAACGTGCATGAAGAGTTTTCAAACTAATAAGGTTTTGTGAGAAAAAATTCATTTGGATGCAGTCAGGGACATGAACTGAATTTTTTTCTAACATGCAAAGAGACACATATACATTTCCAGAGCCTGAAAATGTTTGAAACCCTCTGCTCTACACTGTTCTAAACAATTCTGGATGAATCTGGAAAGTATTGGAAATATTTGGCTTGAAAAGAGTAGTACTGTAGACATAAACAATCAAGTTCAAAGGGGAGCCAGTTGGCAGCTTACCTTATAAATGGCAACATGGCTCAAGTGGCAAGAAACCTGCAAGGAACCATTTCCGATCATTATAAGAGACTCCACCTTAATGAGTTCACAGTAAATGAAGGTTAGATATTCCTCTTGCAGTTTCCTTGTATTTACCCTTTCCCATGACTAGTGTTAAAAATAACTGAAATCTGTGTAGGTTTTGCTTGCTTGATCTTGCCCTGTTGAGTGTGGCTTGACAATCTCTTACACAGCATGCTATGGCTTGTCAAGTAGAATTCTCTCTTTCCCAACATCCTTTAAGGAAGAATACATTCTCTTAACTGACATTTGGCATTCATTTCCTCTGGCCACCTTGAAGTAAAGGGAGATGGTTGTCCTAAACAAGGTCACACCTTCAGCGATTGCTTAGAATGCGTGTTTGGTCAAGTTAGCCTTACGCCCTAGAAAATTCTCTGGAATGTCACCAACTTTCTTAAGGCAACAATCACGTCCTGGACAGCCCTATCAGATTGAATCTGTCCCAAATGAAACAAAAAGGAAAACTAATTCCTGCCTGGAAAGAGGAGAAAAGATTTCAACTGCTCATAGTCTGATCTAGTTGTGCTTAGACAAATCTTTGCCCATACTGGACATCGTGAACTACTGATGACTCTACACACTGGATGAACTTTAAAGGTTTGAGAGCTAAATTACCATCTCTTGCCTGATACTGCCTGTTTACCCATCACATGACTAAATCGTTTATTTTTGTTTTAGTTTATTGAACAAGCCATAAATTATTGGGTTTAAGGCTGGGTTTAGCTTCATGGCTGGGGGATGAGTTACCTGATAGATTGACTTCTTCCAGCTGTTTCTACTCATCCAATCTGATTCAGCAAGATGGACATGATTGGTGTTCTCCTCTTCTGCATGTAAGCTTCCTATTTAATATTCTTATGAAAAGATTTTTAAAAAGCCATGAGAACAATAAACTTGGTGGGCACCAATGGAATATCTAATGACACTGTGCCCACTATCATCTCAGTCTCTGATAGCTTCTGCACTGAAAGAGATTTAGCAACAACTAGAAGTATCTCCTTTTTTTTTCCTTAAAACACTGAGCACAGCTTCTCATGTAGGTGAAAGAAGCACTTAAATTGTAGGGTTCATGCCCAATCCAAGTCTTACTCAGAATTAATCACAAGATGCAGCTTAGAATCTATCCAAGCACAATCACTCTGAAATAAGAGCAAACATGTCAAAATTCAAGTCTTGTACACTAGCCAATGCTGACAACTCTCGTTAGTTACTTTATTTGGTCTCACCTTGGCGCCAATGCTTTATGTGGAATGACATTTATCAAACCCTGAGAAAGCAACCATATACGGCTGGTCATTGGCTGCCTTTGCTCTTGAGATCACAAGTTGGACGAGCTGGATCTGGAAACAGCTACAGAAGGAAGTTATTTTTTGTATTAGAGGTAGTCCTCAATTTGTGACCACAATTGGGATCAGAATTTCCATTTCTAATCAAGGTGATTGTTAAGTAAGTCGGGCCTAGTTTACATCCTTTTTTGCCCTGGTTGTTAAGCAAATCACTGCAATTGTTAAGTGAATTATATGGTCATTAAGCAAATCCAGCTTCCCTCATTGACTTTGCCTGTTGGAGGTCAGCTGGGAAGATTGCAAATTGCGATCACATAACCTCGGGACATGCAACGAATATAAATACATGCTGGTTGTCAATCACCCAAATTTGGATCATATGACCATGGGGATGCTCTGACAGTAGTTAAGTGTGAGGGCAGATCATAAGTCTTTTTTTTTCAACATTATTGTAATTTTGAACAGTCACTAAACAAATGGTTGTTAAGTCAAGGACTACCTTTATTTGAACTTGAGTTTGAGTTTCATAACATTTGTGAATCTGCCTGCTCTGCTTGTATATTATTGGTTCAATGCAGCCTCTATTTAAACATCCCCAAAGAAGGCAGTTCCTGCACATCAGGAGGCAGTTCATTCCATGACAGCATTGGATACCTCTCACTGTTAGAACTTGTTAGGACCAACCAATATCTCCTTCCTAGTCGTTTAAATCTAATGTTTCTTGTCCTTTCTTCTGGAACAGATTTGAAAATTCTTTGACTAATTAATCAGTGGAACAATTTGCCTCCAGTAGTTGTGGTGCTCCAACACTGGAGGTTTTTAAGAAGAGATTGGACAACCATTTGTCTGAAATGGTAAGGGTTTCCTGCTTGAGCAGGAGGTTGGACTGGAAGACCTCCAAGGTTCCTTCCAGTTCTGTTATTCTGCCCTGTCTTCTACAAGATTGTCCTTCAGAATCCAAAAAGTCATCACACCTCCCCATAGCCTTCTCTTCCCCAGGCTAAATCTTCCCATCGCCTCTAGTCTTTTCACCTATATTTTTCTTTAGCATCTTGCTTTTCTGGACGGGCTCCAATGTGTCAACATCCCTCCCACTGGACTCTTAAGTAGAGTCTAACAAATGCAGAATAAAGAGGAATGATAATACTTGTGACTCTATACTTTTGTTGATGCAACCTAGAATTGTATCTGGTTTTGTTGCAGATCGTTGGCTTGTGTTCAGTATGTGAATATAATTTTTGCATGATTATTGCTTAGTTTAATTCTCCCCCTCCTATATTTGTGGCTTTGATTTGCCCAAACAAATATCGAGTAGAAATTCAAGTTGCAAGCTTCTCAGGATCTTTCTGAATCAACCACCCTTGCATTCTGCTGTAATATACCAATAGAATTTGATGAGTCTATTTTCTAACTGTCCTTGGAATCATTTATATATATTTTGAAGAGGATGGGACCTAGGCAAAAGCACTTCTTTCAAAACGTTCCTTCACCTTCACGTGGAAACATTGACGTATACAGGTGGTCCTTGATTTACAGCCAAACACTTAATGACCATTGAAAGTTACGAGCGATTTCCACAGAGCTACTTGGGATCCATTTTGGAGTTCCAATGGCCGCACATGTACCTGCAGTCATGTCATTGCATATTGTGTGCTTGGCAACCGGCTCAAATTTATAGCCATTTGCAGCATCCTGCAGATCACAATCTGCAACAATTTTTTTTTGCCAGTTTTTGTTCTTTACTTCTGATTTCTGGCAAAAAAAAATATTTCAAACTGTTTACTACTCAGGACATGAAAAATACAGAAAAAAAATCAGTGTCACTTTTATAGATAGAAAGGGTGCAGTGCAATCAACGACACAATTATTTCAATTAGATTTTGTGGAATAATTGAGTTTTGTTTTTTGTTTTGCTTTTTTAATTATTAAATAAATATAAGAAAAACAATTACCAAACATAATTACAGATGTTTATATATCAATAAATTGAGGCCATGATTCATTACCATCATCATTAGTTGATCTATGTTAATCGGTTCTACAAACAGTGGCTTCAAGTATTGGTTTTACTAGTACTTGAGCGGTTATCACAGTGAAGAGGGGGTCAACATATCCTCCAAAGCACCTGAGGGTGGGTCAAGAAGCAATGAGTGAAACCTCATTAAAGAGAGAAGCAACCTAGAACTAAGGAGAAATTTCCTGACAGCAAGAACAATTAATCAGTGGAACAGCTTGACTCCTGGAACTGTGGATGCTCCATTGCTGGAGGCCTTCATGAAAAGATTGGATATCCATTTTTCCAGGATACAATAAGATCTCCTGCCTTGGGCATGGGATTGGACTAGAAGACCTCTGAAGCCCCTTCCAGACTTATGATTATATTAACTTCTGTAAATGCTCACAAACTTCTTAAAATTTTGTCCCAGAATATTTCATGTGACGGAAGGAGGTATATGTCAAATAAAAAATGACATTAAGAATTTAATTTGAATGAAGCAAAATGGAAATGAACTGAAATCAAATGTTTCTCTTGGTATTTGCCCATTAGTTTTGGGAGTGAACTCCATGGTAGACCATCACAAAGCCCCCAAAGTGCCTTCAACCTATAAACTTTGTATACTTCTTAACTATAATTAAGAAGCATATACAGTTTTCCTTTAAATTATAGTTAAGGAGTATATTAAGTTATAGTTAAGGAGTATATGAAGAAGTGTGAATGAGATAGCACTATACATTGAACAAAATGTGGTTTGACTTGGAATAGACTGCTTTCCATGAAGAAGAAATGACTGGATGATTTCCCATGAAAAACTGCTCAGATTTCAGAGAAATGTGCATCACCTATTCCTTAGGATAGATGTTACACATCCCTAAAATGATGGAGGGGGGGGGAGGAAGATCGTCTCCTTCCCCTTTCTTCCTCTCTCCCATTGTCTTAGATCAACATTAGTCCCCAACTCTGTGCCAGTATATAGACACTGAATCATCCCTTGGAAATTCCCCAAATGCACTAGAACAGGGGTGTCAAACTCAATTTCACTGAGGGCCGTATCAGGATTGTGGTTGCCCTCGGTGGGGCCGGGTCGGTGTGGCCAGGGTGAGTGCGGCCTACTGGGTGGGCGTGGATGGAGTGGGTGTGACCTACTGGGAGGGCATGGCCAGCTCTACATCATTCGTGTCAAGGGTGCCTGTGGGGGCCTGGGCAGGAGTGGGACAGATCTGAGGGTCTCTGGCAGAAGGGGGTGGGACCAGGGCAAGTGCCAAGGCATGGTCCATTTCTTCATTCCTCACAAAGGATGACACCTCCCCAGCATGCACCCAGGGGGCAGGGTTGACACAGCAGGGACCGGTCCCTTGCTGTTTCTAGATGGCCTTGTGGAGTTAAGATTGAATGCGTTTCAGCATAGATGGCCACCACAAAATTGTACATTGGCTCCCGGCCAGTCTGGGCCAGGGCCAAGGCAGCGGGGGCCATTCCCTCACTGTTTCCAGGATGGCGTCGCAGGCCACATGAAACCATTTTGCAGGCCGCATCCAGCCCCCGGCCTTGTGTTTGACATGTCTGCACTAGAAAAACCATAATACAAGCTACACTGAATCCATAGAAGTAGGAGAATCTGAAGCAACCACCTTTGGAGTCCAGTGTTTTTCAACTTAAATAAACTTTAAGCAACCCAACTGGGCAATTCTGGGAGTTGAAGTACACACATCTGAAAGTTGCTACGTCTGAAAACCAGTGGGTCATAATCTTAGATCTGGACTGAGAAAAGGACACAGTTAAGACAGTTTCAAGAAGATTCTTCTTCTGTTGTTTTGGAAACAGAGCCTGCATTATTTATGCATGCTTTGCATTACTAATTTGGGGTTTTTCTTGGGATCTCAGGAGACAGCAGTTCCTGGTTGACCTAGTCGAGATTCAAGGGCTAAGCCAGTCTGGTCCTGGTTAGTCTTGGATGGCAGATCACAGCCATAAGTTAGACTCAGAAATGCAACAGTTGTAAGTGTGAAAAATGGTCATAAGTCACTTTTTTCAGTGTCGTTGTAACTTTGAACAGTCACTAAACTGTTGTAAGCTGAGGACTACCTGTACTTTGATATTAAAGAGGGCTCCTCACTTCACAGCAAGCATTCAGGAATCTGTGTCTTAAAAAAACAACAACCACGCTTTACCGGTCACCATAGCTGGGTTCAGCCAATATCAAGCAACCCCCTTTATGGCTTAAATTTAATATGTAAAACTTATCGATCAAGTAACAAGATAGATTTGGATGCGTTTACTCCAGGCTTAAATGAGCAGAGAAGCTGTTTAAG